TTAAACTCAGGGAGGGGTGGTCGTGCCGGTTCGAATGATATATTAGGCTTCTTTAAAATGCAAATAATTTAATTTAGTTATTGTTCTGAAATAAGTTTAACTAGGTTCATGATGCTATTAATATAATAATGTTAATGTCCAAAGAAAGATTCCAAATGGTTTCACTGAATTTAATGAAATAAGATAAAATTTGAAGATAAAATTTTGAATAAAAGTTCAATTTGAAATATGTATATATATCTTGATGAGTTGAGTTAATTTGGCCTAGTAGGCTATGCTGATTAAATGTCCAATGAAGATTAAATTTGTCCTTAGCTAAATAAGATGGATGATGGTTACCAAATTTGGAGTGTCTGTCTTCTTATAAATTTGTACTCTTCAATGCACTTGTCCAATACTTTTGGATGATGAGAAATTTAAATTTTAGGTTTTACTTTGGGATTATGAATTTTAGTTTAAATTAAACACAATTTCCAATAGAATGATGTTCACACTGTGAAGAGTTGGCAGGATCTGGGGAGAGGCAATGGTAGAAGCTCAGGAAGTCCATGTCCATTGTTGAAGTGATGTACAGCTGGTTAATTTACATGAATGACACTTGCCACAGTAATTTTGATTTTCTTTGGATAATTTTGAAAAGTAATACTATATTTAAGATGTTATTACTATATTGCAATTTTCTTACAATTATATATTATTCTAAGTAAATGATTATTGTTGGTTTTTGATGAGTACAGGATAGGTATGGAGAGAATTTGCATAAATATTATATTGTAACATAAAATATGATGATGTTTCTGTGGGGTGATGGGATATTATATAACATTGAACAAAATTTGATAAAATAACACATTAACAAGGAGAGACATATTAAATAACTGATAATACATTATCAGGGGCATTAACAGACATTATGAGAGAAAATATATAAAATAATAGAGAAATTAATGTTAATGATGAATGAATGACATGTAATATTACAAATTATCCCCACAGAAATCTGTATGCTATGAAATGAAATACAGATTTCGACAAAATATGAAATGGAATCATGAATCATTAATATGAATGATACTTACAGATAGGTATGAATAACATTAAATGATTGATTTTCTGGATGATAGAACATTGGGTGATAATACAACAAAATTATAAACTAAGTTAACAAATGTGTAGGACAATTACATTAAAATGGGGATAATAGAATAGAGTGTTCATGGCCTGGCATGGGAAGAAAGGGATATTATGGCTGTTGTTCCATACTGTTCAATACCAAATAACTTTATTGTTTCTTTGTTATTAAGGAGATCACAGTTTATTAGTAAGTGAGTATTGTCTATAAACTTTATCACCTGGGTATCAGTTTATGGAAAACACAATTTAAGGGGTCACACACTCGCGATTAAAGGTCCATGGCACAATTTGGTTGGAGATGATGATGCACAAAAGTCTATTGATGGATGAAATACATTATGAAATTTATTAATATACAATGTCTTCGAAAGTAGGGTCATCATTATCTATCTCGTCGATCACAGCTTCTATTGCTCGGGTTGGTTCCAAATATTTCTTGAGGGCTGATATATGGTAGGGGCCGTATAAAACATCTTCATCTTCTTTGGTTACGTGGAATGTGGATTTTCCTAAAATTTTCTTTATAATAAAAGGTCCTTCGTATATTTCGAATAATTTTGCTGTCTCGCCGTATATAGCTCTAGAGAGGTGGTGAGATCGGATTAATACTTTATCATTAATCTTGAGGGTTTGAGGTTTTCGATTTTCATTTAATTTGGATGATCGTTTCAAGCGTTTTTCTTCAAGTCTTCGTCTTGCTAGGAGTAATTTTTGTTCAATGGGAGTATCACTATTGAATGTGTTTTCAGCTAAATAGTTGTCCCAAAACCGCTGGTCTTTGATTCCTAACTGAAGTTCATTAGGTGTATATCCTGTGGATTCATGATAGAGCTCGTTTAAGCAAGCATTTATATCTGGAATGAATTTTGCCCATTTTGTATGTTGGCGAGAACAATAGGTTCGCAAACACCTTTTGATTTCCCTTATTGGTCTTTCAGCGAGATTGTAGCATGGGTGATAGACAGGGCTGAAAATTAACTCAATATTATGTTCTTCCATTCGTCTGATCCATTCTTCACTTTTGAATTGAGTTCCATTGTCTGATTGTATCCTTTTTGGGTATCCATATGTAGGAAAATGCAAAGTGAAAAGTTTATTTAAAATTATCTTTGTTGTCGCTCGTTGAATGGGGTACAGCTTTATACATTTTGTGAAAATATCTATGACAATTAGGATATATTTTACATTTGATACACTGGTTGGTAGAGGTCCAATAATGTCTACGGCAACTTGATCATTTTTGCCAGTACAACGCACACCTTTTGCTGTGGCCATCAGCGGACGGTTGCTAATCTTACACCTTTGACATGTATCGCATGTAGAAATAAGTTTCCTAATTATTCTGTTCATGTTTCGGAAAATAAAGGTTTCTTGAAGTAGTTGAAAACATTTCTTGGCTCCACAATGTAAATAGAATAGGTGACATCCCCACACAAGTTTTTCAATCATACAACTTGGTAATGCGATGAGCCATTTATTCTTCAGTCGTTGGTAGAGGGTATCTTGATGTAATCGAAAATTGGCTGATAGTTTTATTCCAATTTCGGATTCTGGTTGAAGTTCTAGAGTGTTAATAATGTGTTGGAGTTTAGGATCTCTTCTTTGGAGTAGGGGAAGGTCTCGTAAAGCGTCTTTTAGGTTTTGATCTGGTATTTTGTCTATATAATGGATGGTTAATTCAATGGGGTTGTTGTATGAGATTGCTGGTTTATCGATGGAAATTCGACTAAGAGTATCAGCAGTTATGTTGTCAGTGCCTTTGCAATGTATGATTTTGAAGTTATATTCTTGGAGAATTAATATCCAGCGAGCTAATCGATTATTTAGTAAGCGACAACTCTTAAGGAAAGTTAAGGCATGGTTATCGGTGATTATTGTTAGATTTGTTCCAAGGACGATATATCTAGCTTTTTGAAGACAGTAGAGTATAGCAAGCAATTCTTTCTCGGTGGTGGTGTATCTTTGTTCTGCCGGTTGTAATGTTCGCGACATGAACATAATTGCAGCCTTATCGCCATTTTCTCTTAACTGATATAGGTGACCACCGATTGCGTAGTCAGATGCATCTGTTTGGAGGTAGAATTCTTTAATGGGGTCTGGATGGATTAAAGTGTTGGTTTGTAGGAAAAGTTGTTTGATTTTTGAAAATGTTTTATCATCATCTTCTGTCCAAATGAATTTATTTTTCTTAGAGGTTAATCTCATTAAAGGTTGTGTTGTAGCAGAAAATTTGTCAATGAATTTGTTGTAATAGTTGATGCTACCGAGGAAAGCCTTTAGTTGTGATCGATTCTTAGGGGTTGGAAAATTTAATATAGGATCCACTTTACTCTGATCCATTTGTAGCCCTTCATTGGTTAGAGTATATCCTAAAAATGGTACTGAGTTCTGGCAGAATTTAGATTTGCTGAATTTAACTGTCATGTTAGCTTCTTCAAGTTTTTGGAATATATATTCAAGGTGTTTCATATGGGTTGGGAAATCTGGTGAAATAATGCAGATGTCATCGATGTAGATAGCGGTGAAATCTTCAACTTCTGAGTCAAACACTTTATCCAATGCACGGACTAATGCAGCTTGTGACGTAGAGATACCAAAAGGTGTCACGGTGTACTGATAAATTCGACCTCTAAATTGAAATGCTGTGTACTGCCGGGATTCTTCGGTTAAGGGAATCTGCCAGTATGAAGCTGATAAGTCAATGCTACTTATAAATTTAGCGCTTTTACACTTGCACAAAATTTCGTTTACACTTAGATTGCATTCCAAATCGGGAGTTATTATTTCATTTGCCCTGCGTGCATCGAGGCACAATCTAATCTCGCCAGTCTTTTTGACAACAGGTATTATTGGATTAATAAAGGTACTTTTGCTTCTCTCTATCACATTTAATGCTTCCATCCGATCAATTTCCTTTTGAACTTGGTCTTGATATTGTTGCGGGACAGGGTACGAAGTAGTTTTAAAAATCTTAGGGTTTTCTACACGTAACTCATGTGTATACTTGTTGCATACTCCTGGTTGATCAGAAAAGATATGCTGATATTTATTTAATAAACTGCTTAATGTTTCACGTTCTTCTGCGGTTATGTGCGTATTTGTTGCTAGGGAATTATCTATTTCTTCTTGGGTTAATGTTTCATCTTCGATTGGATCTGTTTTTCTATTTTTGAAGTTATTTATTGTGCTATTAAATTTATTATATATTGGATCATCGTGATATACATCAAACGTTTCATCATTAAAATATTCATTATTTGGCCTATGGCTATCATTAATTATTAAGTGACATATTTGTCCCTCTTGGTTGCACATACAAAACTTCAAAGTAACATTGTGATTATTTATCTGCATATCTATTTCATTTGTGTTGAAATTCAGATCCATTTTAAGATTAGACAAAACATCTCCTAATATTATAGGTTTTATTAGATTTGGTACAATAAGATATTCCAATGGCAAGGTGTGTTCTGCAATTGTGGTGGGAACGTAAATAATTCGAGAGACTCTTTTAGATCGCTCATTTGTAGCAGTTTTTATTACTGTGTTATTAACTGGAAATTCTTCAAATGGTGAAATTTTGGATTTGTTTTCATTGAACCAGGATTCTGATATACAAGTTATTGATGAACCAGTGTCGACTAATGCGTTTGCTCTAATATTATTAAGTTTGATGCTAATTTCTGGGCAACTTATTTGAGTGAAATTTAGAGATTGATTATTTTCTGAATCATTTTCTAATAAGAAGTTCTTATCACACATTATACTTTGTGATTGAAGATGATTTATTTCATTACCGAGACTTTCATAAATAGGCGCTGTAATTTTAGAGTTAACTAATGATAATTGACCCTCTCGGTTGTCGCTTACAGCGCCGAACCGTTTTCCTGTATATTTGGTGCAGGATGAGTCTGTGGCTCGTAACTGTGTGATGATTGGTTATTTGGAGGAGCACTTGGCACGTAGTTATTTTGTCTTATTACTGCGCAAAGCTGAGCTTGTTCTTGGGTTGGGTGGTTTCTGTAGGTCCGTTGGTTGTTGTCACCGTTACGTGGAGGATATCTGTCTCGTTGATATGGTTTGTTTTCATGGTTTCGGTCGTAAGTAGGATGATTGTAGTTAGGACGGTAATTTTGATGATTTGGATAATTTCTGTGTTGGTGATTGTTGTTGTATGAATTGTTGTGATATGAAGGTATCTTGGGTTGGTACGCTCTCTGATTCTCGTAGCGGCCGTTTTGATGATAAATGTGTGGTTGTTGATTTGGAGTTGTCGGTCGGTTGTTGGATGAGCTGTTGTGATTCTGGTTGTTGGTGCGTGTCTTCTTCGGTCCTTCTTTGAGATCTTCACGTTGTAGAAGTCTTTCTAATGCACGTACGGTGGTGATGTTCTGTACATTGATGCAGTCTTGTACGATGGAGTCAAATCTCTCTGCCATCAGTGTCACAATTTCTTCTTCGGTTAGGCAAGGGCTCATAGATTGGAGTGAAATTACACGTTCTGTAAGGTATTCACTGCGGCTGAGGGTGCCATTTGACCGGTATTTTTCTGATTCGATTTTGGCTCTTAAGCTGCGTTGTACTTCTCTTGACCAGTATTTAGCTTCGAATTCGTTGGAAAATTGTTCCCAGGAACTTAAGTCAGTCTTTACAAGTTGTAGCCATCTTAAGGCGGGACCTTCGAATGAAGTTTCTAGCAGGTCTTTGAGATATTCAATCGGGTCATTATTACTGTTTCGCTCAAGTCCTCTGTCGTAATATCTTTTAAATTTATTAAGATATTCTTTTGGGTTGCCACTTCGGCCGTTGAATTTTGGTATTTGTCGGTCTTTCTCTTCATTTCCATTGCATATAATTTTGATTGGGCCTTGGAAGTTTTCAAATGTTTTGCTCTGTTTGAGGGTTTCCACTTCTTGTTCACATTTAGTCAGATTTTGATTTAAACTTTGGATTTCCGCTTGCTGAGATTCTAAAGTTTTGTTTTGGATGGTGAGTTTTGGGAGAATTTCGTTTTGTATGATGGCCAAATTAGCTTTAGAATTCTGTTCGGATTCTTGCCTGGTTCGTTGAGAAAGTTCTTCAATTTTTTGGTCAAAATTCTGTTCATGCATTACCAATTGTGTTTTGACAGCAGATAGGATGTCATTTTGTCTCTGTTGATTTTTATTATCAGATATTGATTGTTGTTGTGTAAGATTATCAATGACGAATTGTCTCATTTGATCTTGTGATTCATCAATTTTTTGTGTGAGTTTTTCATTAAGTTTAATGATTTCCTCAGCTTGTGTTGTCTGAGTGATCTTAATTGAGTTTATTTCGATCTGGAATTTATTTTGACTTTCACGATTTTCTGAAATTTGAGTTTCTAGCGCGTTTCTGCAAGCTTGAATTTCTAGGCTATTAGCATCAATTTTATCATTGAAGCTTTGAGTGAGTTCAACTTTTAATTCATTGAGTTTGCTGTTGATTTTACTGTTAATTTCGGCATGGGATTCGTTAATTTTGCTGTCAATTTTAGCATGGGATTCGATAATTTTGCTGTCAATTTTAGCATGAGATTCGTCAATTTTGTTGCTCAATTTAGTGTCTAGTTTAGTCATGAGGGCAATTAAAGTATTAATATCTGATGGTGCAATTAGTGTTGATGTGACAGTTGCTGTTGCACCGACAGTTGCACTAGGGTTGTTCCGTTGCCGTGTTGTTAGGTCGTCTGGGTCTGGGTGACGTTCGTCGGCGTCGGCTATGTTCGGTAACGATCGGCTGTGTTCGGGTGCGGGTGTCTGGGTTATTGATCCGCTAATGTGACCTTGGCTATCACCTGGCATTTTGGAAACATTCAGACTTTGTTTACTGGACAGTTCAGTGGCAACATTTGCAAACAGACTTGTAGAAATGGGAATACTAGTGTCTGATTGGTCCATGGACTCGTTGCTTTCTTCCTCTGTGAGTTCTGATGTCTGCTGTGGATGTGTTTTTTGTTCTGTGTCCGTGCGTGTGATGTCATCAACATGGAGACCTTCTTCTTCAATCTCGCTCTCGCTGTCAGTTTTGTTGTAGTCGTAGTCGTCATTTGGGTTTAGGTTAGAATTTTTACGGTTGGGTCTTAAATTATAACCTTTCTCGGCCATGATTAATTATTGTACTAATTATGCGAATTGTGCGTGATTAATTAGTGTTTTGTATAACGGCTTTGTGTTGTTATTGGGGTTGGGAATATTAATTACGGGACGTACAATAGGCTATGGGTTCTTAAAATCTAGTACAACTTAAGGTTAACTTAGCCTAAATCGAAAATTGCAATATTTTATGACTACCGTAATATATCATTCGAAAGCCGACACGTTGGGTCGCCAAATTTGCTACGGACCATAAAGCTTTCTATAGACTTTCATTAACTTAGGCCTACAAAATTCCTAGGCCTATGGCTATTAAGTTAGCCCACATTGAACTCAAAGTCATTTCTTTCTTAATAAAGATAATTCCTAATTTTTGTTTTATTTCTGTCTAATAAGGTAAGTCTTTGTCTTAATCTTATAATTATGAATTATTTTAAGAATAAATAGATTTGGTAAGTTACAATATATAATTTATTAAGTTAATGAAATACAAATATAAGTTATTGGTTGAATAGGCTACAGGGTAAGTTAACAATGGTAAATTTTCAAAATGGTGGGGTTCCAAAGTGGATGAAAAGATTCTCTAGGCTTAGGCCTATATTGGGTTGGTTTCTTCTTAAGTACTAATTAATATTCAAATAGATGACCTCTTAATCTCAGGGAGGGGTGGTCGTGCCGGTTCGAATGATATATTAGGCTTCTTTAAAATGCATATAATTTAAATTAGTTATTGTTCTGAAATAAGTTAAACTAGGTTCATGATGCTATTAATATAATAATGTTAATGTCCAAAGAAAGATTCCAAATGGTTTCACTGAATTTAATGAAATAAGATAAAATTTGAAGATAAAATTTTGAATAAAAGTTCAATTTGAAATATGTATATATATCTTGATGAGTTGAGTTAATTTGGCCTAGTAGGCTATGCTGATTAAATGTCCAATGAAGATTAAATTTGTCCTTAGCTAAATAAGATGGATGATGGTTACCAAATTTGGAGTGTCTGTCTTCTTATAAATTTGTACTCTTCAATGCACTTGTCCAATACTTTTGGATGATGAGAAATTTAAATTTTAGGTTTTACTTTGGGATTATGAATTTTAGTTTAAATTAAACACAATTTCCAATAGAATGATGTTCACACTGTGAAGAGTTGGCAGGATCTGGGGAGAGGCAATGGTAGAAGCTCAGGAAGTCCATGTCCATTGTTGAAGTGATGTACAGCTGGTTAATTTACATGAATGACACTTGCCACAGTAATTTTGATTTTCTTTGGATAATTTTGAAAAGTAATACTATATTTAAGATGTTATTACTATATTGCAATTTTCTTACAATTATATATTATTCTAAGTAAATGATTATTGTTGGTTTTTGATGAGTACAGGATAGGTATGGAGAGAATTTGCATAAATATTATATTGTAACATAAAATATGATGATGTTTCTGTGGGGTGATGGGATATTATATAACATTGAACAAAATTTGATAAAATAACACATTAACAAGGAGAGACATATTAAATAACTGATAATACATTATCAGGGGCATTAACAGACATTATGAGAGAAAATATATAAAATAATAGAGAAATTAATGTTAATGATGAATGAATGACATGTAATATTACAGCGGCCTTGGGCTGCCTCAACTTAGGGTGGCGAGGACTATAAAGGGGGTCTTTGCCCGGTGCTATCATGCCGAGTCGACACTGCACACGTCGGGTATGCTGCTCGTCTTAGGTGAGTTCTATCATTATCTCTCTCTCTCTCGCGCCCAAATTCCCTTTACAGGGGTGGTTAATTTGGATGTAGATATTGCAGGGTAGATATTTAACTTGGAATTTCATTTTTGTGACCTGGATCTACCATATCATGGAATTTAGGGGTTAGATTCTTTGAGGAAATTAGGAGTGGTAATAGACCTGTCGATTGTTGAGATAAGGCTGGCCACTCTCCAGATGAGGGGGGTGCGGGGAGCCGGCACTGCCCTCTGGTGACGCCACCCTTGGGGAAGTAGCTAACCCACAAGGGGGGAGTGAGTAGCAGGCACCCCTAAGTTTTGAGCTCTTCGTCCCAAATGGCACTCGCTCTGTTTGTGTCTGCACGATCCATCAACATTTTATACTGCTAACACGCTCGGAAAAACTAGAAGATAGTTATAAGGATCAACAAAATCTGCTTTTATGTGATAATCCAAGATCAAGATTGTATGTTTAGGCAGCGTGAAAAATTTCAACCAAAAGAAAATGTGACTACATTTCTACAAACAAAATTTGAACACTATGAAGAAGAAGATATAATTGAAAACAAACAGTGGATTGCTACAGATAGAACACAGATGATGACTCTTACATCAACTGTTGGTGAATACATTGAGGAACTGACGGTAAAAATAGAAAAATTTACCCCGTATTGCTAAGAGCCAGTCAACTTTTCTCAAAAACCTCAAAGAAATGTGATCTTCTAATTAAGCTATTAGGCTTGCACTGTTCATCTAGCTATCATTAACATGTGTGTTGATTTGGAAAAAAATAGTTTCAACCCACTGTGTCATCCCTGATGACTTAAATCATGACGTTTGAATAATTTATAAGACCAACGAAAACCTAACACAATTTCTCAATGAAAATTATCTTAACATCACAGATGTACACCATTACAGCGATGGTTGTGCAGCACAATATAAAAATAAGTTCAACTTTATGAACGTTTCACTACATCTTCAAGACTTCCAATTTAAATTAAAGGCCAATGGTCCTTCTTTGCTACAAGCCATGGTATTGGAGGAACTGTTAAACAGTTAAAACTAAAATCAAGCCATTAAAAGTTTCTTCAAGATTAAATATTAACCGCAACTTCATTCAATCAGTTTTGTAAATCCGACATTTCAAATATCGATTTCCACTCCATTCGAAAAGAATCAGTATATCTAATTTGAAGTAATCTTGAAAAATGTTTTTTTTATCTTATCACTCTTCCTTGTACAATGAGTTTTCCCAACTACAGACCCTTGGATTGTTTGGGAAGTATAGAAGCAAGGCGATTCAGTACTGATGAGAAGCCTAGTTTAACATTTATACGCTGTAAAACATAAGAAGACGCTTGACTAAAAGTGTAAAAGAAGAATATTTATACCAGTCTCGCTAAATGCTTGCAATTACCTGTGGTATTTTGGAATAATAACAAATGTTTCCAAAGAAAATGGAGATGGAAAATGGTGACAGTTATAAGTTCCTTCATCCAGCAGGACCATCCCCTTCATTTATTGGCCAAAACGAGATTATGTATGTGATGATCCCCAATAAGAGGTTAGCAGTGGTTTAGCCTCCACACACCTCGAAGGGAAGAATTTATCAATTCTCAATTGAGTGCACCAAATTGATTGAAAGCATGGCTTTAACCCCAATAGCGGGTCAGCTTTGCAGTGGTTCAGCATTTTATTATGTATGGTGATCAATGTGAACACTTTTTTATGATAAAAAAACCTTTGAATACACCTTGATAAATACGTAGATTGCAATAAAAATAACCAGTATCAGCTGTTTTATTAACTGCAGGTACAAAGGTTATTGACGATAGCATGGACACTTTTAAAGGCTGTAGGGCGGAAACTGGATTTTTCCTAGCCTTGTGACCGATTCCAATCTATTTCTCGTGGCCAAATACCCCTTAGTAAACAGAAAAATAAAAATAAATCCTCGGAATAGCCAGATAAAATTACACAATTTTACTTGATAAACCAACGGATTTTTCTTCAGCATTTAAATTTAACAAGTCTGATTATCCTAGTGTTATAAAATAAACATTACCACGCAGGAGTTTTAATATGCAAAAGCTAAGTCCTTTGCTATGAGAACTCTTATTATCTGTTCACGTGACAATTTCTTAAAAACACTTTGAAATTTAGACTTCACAACGACATATTATGAGTATCTTTTTTACTTTATTCATCACAACATTTCTTTTTACTAGCTCTTTATTATATTGATAAAGACAAAACTATGTTATATTGTGTTTAAGGTGTCGCTGACTAATCTCATGTGCCAAACTGTGCGAAGTGGACAAAATGTCAATGGACAAAAAAAACATACATGTATGCTCGTAAATACGCGCCAAAGAAAAGGTTGTTGACTCACAACTTCCCTCTCTCTCTTGCGCCTTGCCTCGATTCTTTATAGACTCGCCCCTCCCCACCCATCCTTCATCCTTTCCACTTATTTATTGTTTACTTTATGGCAGTATTAATTGCAAAATAATGAGTAGTGGTTATAGCTTCTGTCTTCTCTTCAAGTTTCACGATAAGTAAAATGTATGTGAATTTCTAAGACGTGTATTTTTGAGTTTGGATATATTTAGTGGATACGTAAATATGGTTTTGTCTTAAAGAAGTGAACTAGAGTAAGGGTGAATCTCACAAAATGGTTTAATTTAAGTCCCAGCCAATATTATGTACTAACAAATAAATAATTTCCAATAAAACTGTGTTTAATTACTTCCCTCAATCCCTATTTTCCGTTGCATTACTATTTAAGAATAAACAATATTCAATTTATTTAAGAATGTTTATTTCACGAAAATACAATTCGGTAACCGTGTCCTCGACTATCGTCTGCTACTTGACTTGCAAACAAAACACGCAATATGTGACGAAAATTTCAATGACATTTGTCAAAATGACAGCTGAAGACAGTAAAAGAGAAAAGCAAATGCTAAAGCACAATATACCATTGACTAAGGAAGTTATATTTTCAAAATCCTACTAATATTATAAATGAGAAAGTTTGGATGTATGGATGTATGTTTGTGACAAGTGAACGCGAAAAATACTGGTCGGATTGGGCTGAAATTTGGCATGATGATAGCTCACATTCCCGATTAACATATAGGCATATTCTTATTTCAAAAATCCTTTTGGGCTCCGCCCCAGTGGCTCTCTGTTTCCCATGTTAACCTTATGAGAAATGGAATTATTGAATCTTAACAGCTGTTTCAATTAAACAAGTTGGTTC